GGAGGGAAGGTTTAAGTTGGACATCAGGAGGCGCGACTTCACGGTCAGGGCGGCTAGAGGCTGGAACCAGCTTCCATGTGAGGTGGTGCAGGCTCCCACCCTGGGGGTTTTTAAGAGGAGGTTGGATGACCACCTTACTGGGGTTGTCTGACCCCAGTGCTCTTCCTGCCATGGCAGGGGGTCGGACTAGATGATCTGCTCAGGTCCCTTCCGACCCTAGAAACTATGAAACTATGAAGATCCTATTTTTTACTGTCTTTGTAGGGATCATTTGCTGTAATATTTTCCTTAAAGCTACGGGACAAAGGATAGAAGCAGGCCCAAAATGACTGTGAGATTTATATTTTTAATTTTAAGCTGAAACAAAAGGTATAAAATGCAGTCCCTCCTGGCTGGTTCTGTAGCATATTCTTATTAATACTTTGTGTTCAGGATTAGTTTAGTTTTTAACCATAAATTACTTTGGGACTTAACACAATGTTCTTCTCTGTGCAGTAGTTACACGCTGAAATAGATCTGAATGGAACAATTTGATGTTATAAAAACACCAAGATAAACAGACTTGGTAACATATTAGCATATCCAGTGGGAAGAGAAACATATATTTTGGAAGGGTGGCATTTAAAATGACCCTCTTGCCAAAGCAAGCATTTTTTCCTACTACAGGTTTCCTGTGGATGTCTTTTTTTCAAAGGAATGGCACTGGAGGGTAGAACTGATAGGTAGGTTATTCTCATTACTTATGACAAGGTGTACTGGTTTTGTTGGGTTGGTTTTATGGGGTTAAACCTAAAACTTTTTTCTTTAACAGGACAAAAATAACCCACTCAGTTTTTGTTGGCCTTTCTGTAATAAAAGCCTTTTAAAAGACCGACTCTCCAAAGGGCCCAGAGCTCACATCCAAACACACGCTATACTGCTAAATATCTTCTTTGTCCTTTCATTAGTTTGTCTTAATTCTGAGATCTTGGCCATGCTCTTCCAGCCATTGGGGATCAATACAGTAGCAGCAGTCCACATCTTTGCTTTTGTTCTACCGGACAAGACCAGTGTAAGTTAGAGTTGTCGAGTGCCCGAGGTCAGTGTATGCTTATGTCAGAAATTCGTAAGTGTGGCACAGGATCCAGAGTTGTAATGACTGGCACTGAATGTATGTAGACTTATTTCACTGTCCAGTTTGCCATGCAATGGTGTGTCAGGCATTATAAAGCTTGATAATAGAGCTAGAATGTAATTTTTAAAAAAATCCATCGGTTGAAAGGAGTGTATGCCACCTGCCATCTTAATTTCATGACACCTGATCCCCAAACAGCTGTTTGCCTCATTAGTAAAATACAGTTGGACTGACGAGTAAGCCCGCAGAATGGTTTGATAGGGCAACCATGCTGGCATTGGACGTTGTAATTGCTAATGCAATACCCTAATCAGATCAGGAGAAAAAATTACTGAATTTTGTTTTTACATTTGGTTTCTTTTATACTTCTTTGTGGGGGGATTCTTTGTGGGGGGTTTTCCCCCCTCTTCTCCATGTTAGAAACTCAGACTTTGGAAATATCTTTTTTATACTAAGCAAAAATTGAGCTAAGAAAGTTATTTCAGAGGCATATCTTTTGTTAGCTAATAGATATCATTGTTCAGGTTTAATATGGGTCACATGATAAGAACTGAAGTACTTGTTACAATAACGGAGTGGATTACAAAATGCTTTATTGCCTTCCTATCAGTTTCTTTGCTATTGTTAGCAAGTACAGTGCAGAATAAAGACTACAAGCCTCAGCAGACTGAAATGTCACTAATATTTTAATAAGTGATGATAACACAAGCATGGAATGCCACTGTTCGATGAATAAAATGTCTTAAACACTTTGTGTAGCCAGCATGTGACACTGAAGTTTTGCGTTAATATTGATATTGAAGGAAAGTGGGAATATGGACAGAAGATGGCTTAAATTCATCTTCAATCTATGTATCATTGCTGCTGTTGCAGATGTGTTATCCATTGCTGAAAATAATTACCATAGGTTTTTTTTCTGACTTTGGTAATCTACTGAAGTGTTACCTCCAGCTGGCCAGTGTGAAGGGCTAGCTATGCAAACTCCCCGGTGGGGAGTTATACTTTTCTGACTTCTGAAGATTTTTGAATGGTGTCTTGAAGTAAAAAGAAGATAACAGCGCCTTGCTCAAAGGAAGGTGATTATTTCTCATTTGTTGCGTCTTGTAAACATTCCCTTTTTCTGTGTATATATGTGGCAGAACTAGCACAGTCAAGGAAGCTAATACAGTGAGAAAAGGGGGATTTTTTCAGTAGTAACTACTTTAAAAGTGGCTAATATTTCTGATTGATTAAAATGTAGGTTTATACGATGTTAAGATGGAGAGTATCAGAATGTAAATAAAACTACAGTGAGCTCAACTCATGTAAGATGCCATGTCCGTAATCCTGTAAACCTATGGATGCACTGTGTCGGCTGCCTTGTAAACGGAGCTTTATGTTTTATCATACAGCAAGTGGGGACATGGGTGACCGGTGCCTCTTGAGTCTGGGGGGGCACCAAATCGCCGATGGGGGGGAATCCCCCTGCAGGAAATCACCGACAGGAGGTGCGGGGGGGGGGGGG